AATTGTGAAAGGTTCACATCAGGAAAGATTTAGTGCTAGCACTGGCTGGGTTAAACTGATCTGTGTGCCAGTCAGGATGGTCACAGGTCCTCTGAGCCTTTTGCTGAAGCAAGCTGTGCTGGGGTGCAGGGAGCTCTCAGCGAGTCCATGGTGTCTGTTATGTGTGTGCAGAGCGAAAGGAGCCCTCAGAGAGGCTGCAAAGCTGGGAGCAGCAAGAGAGCCCCGTGCACAGGAAGGTGAAGGAAGTGATCTGTGCTGAGCAGCCCGGCTTCCCCTGTTACTCAGTGGGTACCCTGACCTCACTTAATGCTCTTGACTAAACATGGGATTGTTTGATTTAAGTGGGAGACCACTGTAGAAAACAGACAACTAAAGCCAACCTGAGGAGAAACAAGTAAGACTGCCAAGAGATGTGCTAAACATGATTTCGGTTTTCAAACTGGGATAGCAGCTGAGTCCATATTTAAACACCTAATTAGCCACTGCAGGCTTCAGTTTGAAATTGGCTTCTCATTACTTTTTGGAAATACATTCCATAGGGAGATTGCTGCTGGAGACAGCACCATGGAGATAAGTGGCAAAATCAGCTAATCAGCTTCTGGTGGAAAAAAAGAAAAAAAAAAAAAAAAAAAAAAAAAGAGAAGAAGAAGAAGGAAAAAATTAGCAAACCTCAAGGCACTCACTCCAGAATGGAATACCTACTTATTTTGTTCTTGTAAAAATTCAAAACGATCCCTTTCTTTTCGCCTCCCTGATTGTTGTAATAGTAAGTCAAACCTGTAGCTTAAATTGCAAAAAATCTTGATCCAGTAGGAAGAACTTCTGCTAAAAATTAATTGGACACAAAATGCAGAACCTGCTTTATCCTGGTCCTCTATTCATCTGTATAGAATCCATAAAACATTATTTTCAAAGGAAGGAGAAGGTTTGGTGTATTGGTGCTCTCTTGGACAGATTTCAAAGCGGTGAATTAAACTTTGCCTGCTTTAACTCCTTCTGTTTTCATTAGTGAATTGTGCATTGCCCTGTTTTATCAGCATTGACTTGGCAAAATGCTATGGAGGAGCGTTCCCTGGGGGATGCCACCCTGAGGGGTGCCACTGTGTTCTCTGGTCAGAAGAGTGGTCCAGAGCGAGCCCTACTCAAACAAGGGAGAGAGCATGAACTTCTCCAACCTACTGATGCCAGGCATGCTGTGCTTTCCCACTCAACTTCCTCCCACCAAGTTCTTGCTCCACTTTTCCTGGCTGCTGACTGTGTTCAGGCTTGCCATATCACAGCACATGCTGTCTGGCATTGCCCAAGCTGGGTGGGCAGTGTTTATTAGGCTGTATCCCTGGGCATTGAACACGAGTGCCTCCTTATCTCTCTAGCTGACTGACCAGCACCCACGTGTACCACTGGGATCTGGGAGCTACCAGTCTTTTGCCTGGCTGGTTGCATAGTTAGGAGGCAGAGTTTCTCTGCTTAAGAGTCTGCCTGCCTGGCTGTGAAGCATCAATGCCCTGTGTCCTCAAAGCAGCGAAAGTCCAACCGTCACAGGCACCTCGTGTGCTCTGCTCTGTTAGCACAGTTTGCTGGTAAGCTGTGTTCTGCTTGGATGGTTTGCCCCTTGTATGCACTTTGATTTCAGAAAGATTTTAGAACATTCAGAAAATGTGGAAATTCATAATGTCAATATTATTTTAATTAGTATGCATTTATGCTTTTATTAATTGTAAAAATTGTGCATACAGAGCATAAAGTGCCAAGAGAGGCTAGATTTAGGTGCATAGCCTTTCAAGCCAAGTAATTCCATGTGTAAGAAGAATACATTTTATGGTTTTAAACTAAAAGAGGGTAGATATAGATTGCACAAAAGAAAGAAATTTTTATGATGGAGATGGTGAGGCACAGAAATGGGTTGTCCAGAAACAGTGTGGATGTCCCATCCATTCAAAGCCTGGTTGGATGGGACTTAGAGAAATCTTGTCGAGTAGAAAGATGTCTCTTCTTAATGGTAGGTTAGAGGAATTAGGTGATCTTTAAACTTCCAACTCAAACCTTTCTGTGATTCTGTGTGCGCATAGGAGACAGAATCATGGTGTAAGTTCATGTGCCTATTTTTCTGATACATAAAGTCAGCACTGGACGTAATGAAGCCATAGAACCAGTGTTGATTTATTTTTTCAATGTGGCATTTAAACAATGCGATTCTAATAAAATGGGGTCTGACAAAAATCAGTTGTTTAACAGAAATCCTCATCAGTTCTGTGTCATGTTATTCCTCTGTCTTATGTAGTCCATTGATGTCAGATTCCTGGAAAGCAAAAAACACACACAGAAATTGGGAAGAGAGAAGCTAATCATTGCAGGGCCTCTGCCAAAAGTTTTTGCTCTGTGTATCCAATTTTATATTCTTCATATCTATATTATGTTATTGAAGTCTGATTCCTGGCTGCCTTGCAGATCATTTGCATCTCTGCACTTGTGATATAAAAGGCTTCCTCATTGATTGGGTAGCTTTTATATCTTCTCAGCAGTCATGTTTCTCTGACATACATAACTATGCAAAATACAAGGCTTTGGAGGATACAGCTAGTTCATGCTCCATTGCCACAAGGTAAGTCAAAACAGCGCTCGCACAAAATGTGGGAATGGGGAGCATTCACGGGGAGCATCCTCCTGCCTGGCATATGAAGATTACTGAAGGCCCGACTAGACCCAGGCAGAACAAGTCAGAGTAGTCCCCAGCTCTGCTTCCCTGCAAGCCACTTGCCAGACAAGATCACTCTGGTTCAACTTGGGAGGCTTGTCCCGTGCCCCAGCTTGTGTGCAGTGGGGGAATGGTGGCGCTGATGGAGGAGTGCCAGGGTGAGCTGCCAGCTGGCTGCTGGAGGCGGCTTGGGATGAATGCTGCTTCCCATGGGTAGTGTGAGCTCTGCCCTGCACGGCTGTGCACAGGAGAAGCTTGTAGCAGCTGAGGATCTGGTCCTTCAAGTTAAAGGGTTTGGAATATGCATGAAGCATAAGGTGACATTTTGAGCGTCTCAGATCAGTGCATGGACGTTACTGAATTTAAAATGTAACTGCAATTTCCTGACTAATACCAAATCACTTTTATATTCATGCAGTGATTGTTCTTTACTCTTTAAATAGCCCATTTTGCCCAAAGGTGCAAGTTTTATCTTTATGATAATGAAGGTAGGTTATTCAGCATGGTTCAGCTGAGGCCGTTGGTCGGTGCAAGGGCCACCTGTGATCAGCTGTCCTGTTTGGTTCTCAATTAATATCATGCCTTTGTAGACTGCTTGTGATTTCCTTGTACAAAAAAACAGACACAGAAAAAAAAAAAGTAAAGAGATGCACTGGAGGTTCAGTGTTGTTTTTTTGTTGTTGTCTTTTACTTCCTGTGGCTAAGCTGTATTATTTACTGTGGTGTCTCCAAGTTTCTGAGTTCTTTCAGATAACATGGACAGTTAAATTGCTTCAGTAGCTTCATATCTCTGTAGAGAGTCAGCCTGATTCTTAACACCCAGGGATGAAGTGCACAGGATATTATAGATAAGATATTCAACAAGAGTGAGATAACAAAATGAATTAATATGTTTACTATTCATTCAAAATAAAAAACTTGCACATAGTAACAGCCACAGAAATCACAGGCAGACTTTCCAGCAGAGTAAGAGTATCCCTAGTCTGGGCATTTCTTGCACTTAGGGTGAAGGTGTAGATGATGGTAGCTGCGGCTATCACAGAGATAGTACAACATCTAGGGGAAAGGGAGGAACGAGGAAATGGAGTTCTCTTCCTGGGTGGGTGCCCCTCTATCACCTTTCACCAACAGGTTAAGGTTCTGCTACTGCCCTAACCCCTGAGTCCACATGGGGAGCAGCTGCAGCATGCAGGATCACTTCCCCAGGCTTTAGTAGAGGCAAAGCGGATGGAGGCTGGAGTGGTTCCACTCTTCCCAGGAGCCTGCTGCTTTAGGCTCCTGCCTGCTTTGCCTAAGAGCTGTCTGTAATGCCATCATTTACCTTTGCTTCTGCTTAGCACAAAAATGGTTAGATGAGAGGCTGGCGTAATTACAGGAGTGAATTATTATGGCATAGGAATCTGTGGAAGTGATGTAGAAGCCTCAGCCAGGAAGAGCATTTTAAGCAGCATACCTGCTAATTTACCTGAAACTAGCCTGCTTAGTTTCAGGGGGAAAAAAAAAGGTACTGCTGCCTGCATGCAATGAAACTCAACTCAGAAGTTCCTAGAAAGCTTGACTTGAAATAAAGGCACGTTTGACATCCAGATGAGAGAGGTGCACAGGAGTCTCAGCAGTAATGTTTTGCTGTAACTCCTTTAATTTGTGTGCCTTTGTCATACCTCTTTGGCACACATCCTGCCAGCCATCTGTGCTTTAAAGGCTGTATAGGGCCTGGAAACTATTGTTACACTTGCAGCTGCTCTCCTTTTCTCATCTCTTTATCCATCTCTTAGCTGTGCACAATCTGGTGTGTGACCAGGGCAGCTGCAGTGAGTACCTTACTCATCTGTACTGTTCCCAACACAGGAGCCTTCAACTACTAGGTTCTGATGCAGTAAAAATAATAATAGCAACAAGAAGTAGTATGATCAGTCATGAATTTAACAGGTAGCAATAGGATGTGTATGTTTGGAAAGAGCAGAGCGAAAGAGGAGAGAAAAGTTTAAGGGCCTTCAGGTGATGATAGCCCAGAAATTGATGCCTCAGCATTTCTATTTTAAAGAGTCTGACAGAAAGATTCTGGCAGGTATTGTGTAATTTTATTTTAATATTTTTCCCTGCTATAAATAAGACTTGGTGTCTGATGGACTAATCACCAGAACTTGAGTAAACAACATGCCTGCCAGTGATAAACTGTTTCTTCTGACAACTCACTGTATATCTGGATATTGCAAAATGTGGTACATCTGATGTTTGTGCAATTCTGTTCTCTTTCTGGTTATTTTTACATGGATCTCCTTCTCTTTTTCTCTTCTGTGTACAGATGTTCGTATTCACCCCATGGAGCCTATGCTCAAAGCAAACTTGCCCTTGTGTTATTTACCTATCGACTACAGCATCTTCTGACTGCAAATGGAAGCCATGTGACTGCTAATGTAGTAGACCCTGGAGTAGTGAATACTGAGCTCTACAAGCATGTCTTTTGGGTTGTGAAAGTGCTCAAGTGGATGACAGCCTGGCTATTTTTCAAGGTATTCCATTTTAAAATAATTTTGTTGTTGTGCCCCTGTGTTGTGAAAGCTGCAGTAGGCCTGGAGGTGAAGGTGTTTCAGAGTTTATCGTAGTATATGGTATTTATTGCATTTCTCTGTGCTGATGAGATGTACAAAATCAATAAAGACAGGCTTTCCAGCAAACAGACATTTATTTTAAATGGAGGGAGCAAGCTGTCACAGTAGGGAAAGGGAATGACTCTTGCAGTCTTTGCCTTTGCACTGGTAATCTCTGCCCTGATCTATCCACGTGTTTGTGTGCGTGCATGGGGGCAGGACATCACCCTAACATGGAGCCAGAATATGCAAAGTGTTCCTCAGAAATGACTTGTTCATTATCTTAAAGAGAAGTAGACATGATCTGGCATGGTCTGCATGTACACAACATGTTACAGAGAGGAGGGCAAAGGGAAGAAGAAAGTTGTACAAAAGTGGCAGTGGGAGGTGGCTGTGCTTCAGGATGTGAGGTCCAGACACTTGTGCTCAGGGAGGTGGGACAGTTTTTAATTAGGTTTTCCATTCTAACACCTACTTGTAATGGTACTTGATTTTTTATTAGCCAATCCTTGTCTGCACTAGGAAACAAAAAGTTCTGTAATAAAACTGATCCAGAAGTGGGGCAGACTCAGTTATTGGTAATGTTTTGCAGCGGTGTAAGTAGATTAAGCTGAAATCAGTTTAGCTGTATAGGTACAATCTCCTCATGCACACAGACCTTTGAAGGGCTTGTGCTGAGAAAATGTACTGCTTATAGCTCTTTCAGAAAGTAGTTTTGGATTAAGTAAATGGAACCTGATTCCATTAGAGAAAATTAAATGTCCTAATTAAAATGAAGTATTTTACATCAAGAATCATGTCCCACAAAGCAAATTAATTTTAAACTTTGATATGGAAATATCAGTTGCTTTCATTTTAGAAATGAACTGGAGGCTGGAAGAGTGACTGTAAAATAAGATGCAAACAAATAAACCCTTATTTAAAAAAATAGATCCTTCTGAGTGCACCTTGAAAAGTGCAATAAAATTCTAATAAGAATGCTCATAATCTGTAATGCATTCTTAAAGAAGCAGACTGCAGCTTTGCCAAACTATGTACATTAAACCTGTTTTCCCTCTTGTGATTGCCATTTTAAATATCAGTCTTGGGTGGCAGTTTTTTTTCATTGGACTTACTTCACCTTGCTAATAGAAAAGTTTAATGTAGATTTTTAGGTTGTGCTTAGAATTTCCTCTGGAGAGACAAAATTCTGACCTAATTCTTGCATCTGAGAGTGAGTTTCAAGTCTCTTGTTGTTTACAGAGCTCAATCGCCCCCAGTTTTATTGATGCGCCCAGGAGACATTTTTGTATTATACTGATGATGTTTAGACACTGAATTGGATGTCACTGAACATTTAAAATGGTTTTTCACAAGAGGGATTCCCATTCTTACAACTCCAACAGTCTTGCCACTGATAGTTCTGATCCTTTCTTTCTTCTTTGGATGTGATACTGCTCAAAAGAAATTCTGCCTTGAAATAGGTGACAGACAGACATACTGATCTGTATGAAAGAGTGATGCCTGTACTGCCTGAAAGACAAATGTATTAATTGCTTTCTGAGTCAGAATAACCTCAGGTTTGGATATCTGAATGCTTCAGTTATTGAGGTTGAGATTTTCACATTTTTGTCTAACACTCAATATGTTTTTCCCAAAAGTCAGAGGAGAAGGAAATTCTTACTTTCTCTCTTCACTTCTCCCTTAGACCTCTGAGCTACAGCTCCAACTTCTACTCTTTGCTTACTGCTTAGGATATTTGTATGTGTTTGTGAGTTCTTCATCCCAGAGGAGCGCCCTGATTGGCATCCCAAGGAGATGTTTAGCTCCACAGCAAGCTCACTTTGAAAGACTGTCTGGAAATTTTAACAGTGCTCTACTGAGGGCTGTAGTATTCAACATTCAAGTCTGTGTGAGTCTTGTGCTGGTCTCGTGCATTAGGGTAAATTTCTCCTGAGAAAAGTAAGAAATCAAGTAAGAAAATTCAGTTGTCTAGTAATATTAGCTGATAGTTGGTAGTATGGATTTTTCTCCCCTGGAATTTTGTTCCTGAGCACTTATATGAATCTTCCATCTAGGATTATGGCAGTAATGCAGTGAAAATGATGTGATAGCTCTCTAATCATATTGACTTAACTATTGTCATCCTGAAGTATTCCAGAGTGGGTTCTAAACATGTGCTGGAAATTGCTTCACTCACGGCAACATGGCACTCTTGAGAGCCAGCACGGCCCAGAGAGCTTCAGTGAGGAAATGCAGCACATCTCATTCCCTCAAGAGAGAGTCAACATTTTGTTTGATTTAATTCCAAATAAACTGGCAGAACCCTCACTACTTTTCAAGGCATTTCTCCAGCACTGGTGCCAGTTATGTTCAAGTCAAATACCTCTTGGGGATTGCAGCCTGGCCCCCACCTTCGCTGGGCTGCTCATGTTTGAGGCAGCTCAGCGGGGCAGACAAGGCTGTCGGCTCAACATCTGCCTTGGAGCTGCCTCAACATATTTAGGTACTTAAATTAATAGACCTACAGTCTTGTAAATAGGCCATGATATGTATGCATAATTTACTCAAAGTATTAACAGCTTGATTTTCTTAAAATTGCAAAACATTATCTTCTAGGCTTTTTACATGGCTCAGAATAGTCTTGGCCAAATCTGTTTGGTGTTTTTCTCCCCAGAAGTTGCAGTGAAAGGCATTCCTGTAGAAATAAGATAGGCCAAACTAAAGGTTCTGGTGACAGCCATAAAATTTGTGAAATTGATGCCTGCCCTTTAGAAGTGATGGTTTTATTCTTTCTCAGCTCTATTCTTTCACAGAAAAGTTATTGTCTGCTGTGGTGTTCTAAATTTGCACTTTGCAAATGTTTTCTCTGGATTTTTCATAAACATGGACTGCACCTGTCACACAAGAGAAAAATTATGTTTATTACTCCAAAAAAATTCTATCCCTATGACTTCTTAGTAAATAGTCATAAAGTCTGATGAGCTGACACAGTCCTCTGCAGAATGCAATGAAGTATGTTATCCTTTAATAATTTTTAACATAAATTCATCTTCTTTTCGAAGAGATAAAGTCCAAACTAATAAACACTAATTAATGAGATAGTAATTACTTGAAAAGTCATTCATTGAGCATCAAATTGCAGTTTAGCTAAGTGTGAAACACAGCAGCTTTAGCATTGGGTACTGTGCAAGCTGGAAACCAGGAAATACCATTTCCTTCCCAAGTATTTCTGCATCTGCAGCAGTTACTGAATATTCATTCTTAAACCAGATGGTCTCTGCTTGTGATACAATTAAAATGCCTTAGAGCAAAACAAAAAAGTTGACTCTCATTAATGTCCGATAACAGGGACTGTTCTGCTTCATATGACTTCATTATGGCATCAAAGTAGAGACATTTGACAGATAGCAGTGTTGTAAAGTTCCCCAAAACCTTGTTTATGACAAGCTTGGTGAACATGTCATTACCAGATATAGAGTATTTGGTCCTTTCAGCCAGCTCAGATGGGTATTTAGGAAGGCATTGTGGAAGGAAGGCTTTGCATCAGATCCTGTCTCAGCTGTCATATACAAAGACATTGTGCCAGATAAGTGATTATTGACTGACAAACTGAAAATGAGTAGGATTAGTGACCCTGCCAGCCTGTAAAAATGAAGGGAAAGGCTTCAGGAACACAGACTAGATAGACATCAGCCAGTATAAACTAATTCATTTTTTTCACCTTGTCAAAATAGGCTTAACATTAGTGTAATTTTCCTATAACATTTTTTTTTAAATGCTTCCAGTCAGTAAGCACATCTAGAAAACAAGATCTAAAGGACCTGGATTCATCATTCATGCCAGAGGACACAGTCATGCAGGTCTTATTGCAGCATTTCTTATTCCAACTGTCCCTTTGGCACTGTGAATATAGTAAGTTTATTTCATCCTACCCCCCAGGTGTCAGAAGACAAACACATCATCACACAATAACACCAGCTGTAAGAGAATGAGAGTAATTAAATCCCACAGCTGAAAGCAGCAATTCATCAGCATCCACATCTTCTGTGCATGAGAGTGTGTGGTCCTCACATAAAGCTAATCTGGGCCTTTCTCACAAAAATGAAAACTTGCAGAAACGTATAATTTGCAGTTAAATTTTACAAAAGGTTTTTCTGGTCAAAAACATAGAGAAGAAAACAGTCTGCTTGAATCCAGTAACACTGGTCTTTCAGCAGGTACCAGTTTTGCACATGTTGGTACAGGGATTTAAGCTTTCAGAGCCATAGGTGTCTTTTTTCCATCTGTTAAGTATTTTATTATTTGTACAGCTATAGAATGATTCTAGGGAGAAAGATAAGGGAACTGGCCTGAGAAGGCCAGTAAATAATCTACTGTTAAATTCCCAAATCTTGGTGATCTGGGGTTTTTTTCTTGCGCATGAACCTCTGTACTTGGTTTAGTATCCAGGTCCTGCCTATTATGGGATATGTGAATGAAGCTTGGCTGCTTTATTTATTGTGACTGCTGAGCACAGAGCCATCTGAACACAGAGCCCTGTGTGTCTGTTCCAAGGCAGATCAGACCCCTCTAAGGTAGCCTGACCCTCAGTGCACACATAAATAGCATTGGACCCTGGTATCCACTGCACCTGTGACACCCTGCATCTTAAGATATCACTATTTCTATGCATGTTTTCTAAGATCTAAGTGGTTAAAATATTTATTTGAAGGGACATGAGAATTATGACAGGATGTTTTGATGGCAGGAAAATGAAGGATTTGTGTTCCTTGCCTCAGCGTATGGCACAAAAAGGAGGGTATGGTTGCTGTAGGGGACAGGACAAAATGGTGGGATTATGTCACAGTGCATCACAGGGAGTCAAGGATGTTGAAGTTCTTGTTTTTAACTTATTTGGAGTAGCTGCTGATGTGATTTATCCCCAAACCACACCCAAGCTT